AAGATTTATATAGTGAACAGAGCACAGCACGTTCAGCTTAAGAAAAAAATTCAGTGCAGGCCTATATTCATGGTTCACATATGTGTAATTGCTCTTTATAATGAAGTGAAAACTGCTTAAGTTGTGGCCCACTACAGGCTTTCTATAAGTGTTAAAAAGTGCGGTAGAAAATATGATTGCGCTTGGAAGACGGGGACATAGGAAGGACAGACACAACAGAGCGCTAACTTTCAAGTGATTTAATTCAAGAACCTCAGCGTAGAAACGGACTGTGTCACCGCACCACATCTCAACCAATCCGTGGCCCTGCCACGGACCGCAAGTACGCCAACTCCTTATCCGCCAAGTCAATTGACGCCACACTGACACAACTTGTGCCGGAACTATTTATAGTGTCAGCCTCCATAATCTCGCTAACAGTCCTATCTTTGTGCCTCTCAAGAACAATAGACGAAGCAAATAATGGTTTGCACCCGCAGTCATGACAGTGACACGACAGATCATGACTGCGAGTGCAAACCATTATTTGCTCAGTCTACTGTTCTTGCTAGGCACAAAGATATGACTGTTAGAGAGATTATGGAGGCTGATGCTATAAATAGTTCCGGCACGTGTTGTGTCAGTGTGGCGTCAATTGACTTGGCGGATAAGGAGTTGGCGTACTTGCGGTCCGTGGCAGGGCCACGGATTGGTTGAGATGTGGTGCGGTGACGCAGTGTGTTTCTACGCCGAGGTTCTTGAATTAAATCAGTTGAAAGTTAGCACTCTGTGGTGTCTGTCCTTCCTATGTCCCCGTCTTCAAAGCACAATCATGTTTTCTAACGTACCGTACCAACTTGCCCAACAATCAGCACTTGCTAAAAAGTGCTATTGTGTTTTAAGCAGCTCGCACCAAATATTTTCTTGAAATACATAGGTTCATGGAAATTATTATGTAGATGTTGGCAGACAGTCATGGTGAGGCCAATCTTTAATGCCAAGTGGTCCACTTATTCAGAGTTAATTGAGTTTGTAAATATTGTAGGTCGCAAATTAAATTTTTATGGTACGCAATGGGCACAATCATCCGTAATGACTAGCTCTACCTAGGGGAACTTCATACGTTTACTACGGCAAGATGGTTTCGAAAAACAAAGTATTTAGTTTATTCAACTCCTGCACTAACCTTGTCTTTAGAAACTTTTTATATTCTTTGCGATGCTGAGATAAGATTCTGGAAATAGTTTTTCTAGAACTACTCTAGATATTTCCAGTTCATCATTTTTCTCGCAAAGCATTCGAGAGAGCCAAACCCTGTAATGTATGGAGGGAACTCACAGAATGATGCGACTGACAGTTTGGAACATTCGGCATTGTAACAGTAATAATGACATGTCACTTATGTAATGTTCATTATCGCAGATCAAACTGCTTTTTCCGTCTACACTCATTTTCAGTAGACTCATTCAGCGAACTCCCACCTGAGACTGCAGCGCTGGGTTCTGCAAAGTAATTTGAATGAATATAGATGCAACAGGTTTCTTTGAGCGTGCGTCTAACACATATTCTTCATATTGAATCTGCTAACTGTATTCATGTCCATGTCCATAATTCCACATTCCAGCTTATTTTTATTTTCACATTTGAGTTTTCTTCAGTACTTTTCTCAACATCTGTGCTTGCTGAGCCGTACTCAAGTCCATACATCTTGTCTTTCGCTATTACATTAATATATAAAACTGTTGATGCCGAGTGAGAATTCAAGGTACCGAATCTGTCGTGCGAGCTAAATAAGAACCAATAAAAAGCTCTACAAAGGAAATTTTGTTAAAGGATGCTGTATGGGCATTAGAATAGCACATGCCATGCTAAGAAAAAATACAAATTCTTGTTAGGTATGCGAGGATGACAGTGCTGTGCTGTTTCTGATGTGTCACAAAAAAAAAAAATCAGTGCCATACAGTGTTCCTTATGGAAGTACAAACTGTTGAATTCGAAGCCCAGAAGTTTTATTCAAGAATGTTCCTCAATACAAATGTATTTAGAGATCTGAGCCACTGACTCATACATGACTATGTGGCAAACATTAATTTTCATGTGGATTATAGTTTACAAGGTCTAGTCTGCATTGATTTATTGCATTCATGCTGAAACTGGGAGGGGTTCCCTGGGTATGAATAAAGAGATAAACATTTCTTGAAATCAAAACATTTGAGAACGGACAAAAGGAAGGATCTGAGAACGGTATCTTAGATTCTCTTCTTTTTCTTACAGTATCTCTAATGTTCACTTTATTTCACCTGATGCATTTAGTTTTTAGCGCAGCTCTTAGCACCCGTTTCCGCGTTTCGCGGCGTCGCTGTCGGCGTAACCACCCAACTAAACTTGGCAGGAAATTGAATTAACGTTGTGGTCATGTGACGTTAATATTTCCGCTAAGTCTAGCTGAGAAACTGAATTTTTTTATGGATGACGTGACACGGTCATGCGACGTCATTTTCCCCGCTACTTTTAGCGGAAAAACTGCATGTGTGTTGAGGTCATGTGACATCAATTTCTGCGCTAAATTTAGTGGGAAACTTAACCAGCTAAATTTAGTGGGGAAATTTTCCCGCTAAATTCAGGGAAGTTTCCTGCTAAATGGGAGGGAGCAGAAGAGGAGGAGGGGAGGGGGAGGAGGGGCATACCTTCCCATCCTCCTCTTCAAGATCTGTGCTCTAATTTCACGTTACAGAGAATTGTAAACGTCTCATATTTCATCTCATGTTTATTCAACTTTTATATTGCAGGTGCGCTCACAGCACAAATCTGGGTTGTGCTGATCCTCTACGCACAAGTTAGGAACTCCTGAGTGGCAAGAGTGGGAGTTTGGTCTGACAGCTCAAGGGACACCATTGTTCAGTATTGAATTTTTAATAATCTTCTTTTAAGCAAAGTTAAGCTTTGCTGCATGCAGTTCTTGTAAAAATAAATACCTGCAACCAAATTTACCAGGTCACGACATTTCGCCTCTGCTCTTAGTGGTCCTGGTGAGCCTCGGATAAGAGCTTACTGGTGTGCAAACACCATGCTTGTTTGAAACTACTCACTGATGTAGAGACTCGCTGACATCCAGCATTCCAATGAAACGCTGGATGTCCACAAGTCTTTCTTGAACAATGCAAGCGGGGAAGGAACCATACAATCGTATCGTATTGGGGGACATTCTACAGAGTTTTTTTTCTATGTTTTACAGATTTTTTTTTAAAAAAAGCCGTAAAAACTACATTTACGCGGTCTGTGCACGTGTGTTATATGGCCAGGGCGGCATAGTATAAAAGGCTAATTTGTAATGATCTGTCGGCTTATTACAGAGATATGCCAGACTTCTTTCAGAAAACTAGATGGAGGTTCATTCTAGCGTAGTTTTATCCCGCGAATCTGAATATCCCGTTCGTTTTCCTCAAAGATATAACTAAACGTGAGAAAACACAAAAAACATCCCACCAACAGTGACATCGTAAGAAGACCTTTCGGCCGCCAAGCGTGTGTCGCTTAAGGGCCGCGCGTCCAATCGCAAGTTTTCTAGGTATATTCTCCGGCACTGGCAACAGTCGTGACACATTTTTCTGCCCTTTTAAAAAATAGCACGTGCGTGCATAGCTTTGATAGGCGCTGAAGATGCGTGAACAAAGATTTTGAAAGCTGCTGTTGTGACGTCGCTCTCTAGGGAGGTGCTTTCACAGCGCTTTAAAAATGACTGTGCAGCCTTGATTAATTAAATTAGCAAATAATTTTGATATTTAAGATTCTCGAGGTCGAATGAAGAAGATTTAAAAGTGTTTTCTCAAATACAAAACTGCTTCAGCCTCTCTCTAAGTATAGTAAGTTCGTGAAATTTTTAATCAGTGAAAATAGACCCATGGTTCCAATTAGAAACCTGCTAAGCATCATCAAAACACACTAAATCAATTTTCTTTGTAAAGATAGACGAGTAGCATTATATGGCGTTATAAAAAAATGGTCAATTTGGACGCATTTCCAGACTTCGGTTTCTTACCAGAGCGCATCTTTGCACCTGCGGTCCAGCTGCCCGGTGACCACAGTGCGAAGCCGCCCCCTCGCCTCCCTCGTAGGATGAAGGGAAGCAAGGCGCATGTGTGTTGCGTGTCTATGCCCCTGGGGAACAGGACCGTGGGCGCAGAGATGAGCTCTGATAAGAAACTGAAACCTAGAAACTCGTCCAAATAAAGCTTTTTACAGAATGCATAAAACGCTACCCCTGAATTATATCCTTCTAAAAAAAAACTTGATTTTGTGGTTTTCAATGACTCAGCAAGTTTCTAATTGAAACCATATTTTCATTTTCACTAATTAAAAAGTTGATTAACAAATTGTATTTAATTATCTGACTGATCGTTACGACTAGGTCCCTATACTACGTACGCCTGGCCGTATAACTCGCCTGCACAAACCGCATTAATATAGCTTTCACGACCTTTCTAAACATATATGTAAAGCTTGAAACTAAATCGCCCTGTACAACAGTGAAAAGGCGAAACCAACACGCTGGAGCCATATGGCTCCACCATGGTGGTATCGCCTTTTTGCTGGTATAGGATGTCCCATATTACGTTATGCATGTATGGTTCCGTCCGCCTACATGGTTCCGCCTATATCCACTACGCTGGTATAGGATGTCCCATAATACGACACGCTTGTATGGTTCCGCCCACCTGTATCGTTCCGCCTTATTCCACTATACTGGAGCCGCCTTTTTCGCTTGTATAGGATGTCCCATATTACGGTTACGCTTGTATGAGCCTTTTCCGTCATCTTTCCATCATCGAGATTTTCCAACAGGGACAGTAGACCGGAGGACCATGGCCCGAGGTTTATTCAATGGAGCGTGGAACTAGAACGAACCTCTCGTGCTATCAAACTGACACGACGATAAAGAAGAAGAGCGAAGGAACTAAAGCGCCGCCACTATAGTCCCAGTAGCGCGCGCTTGGCGGTAACTACACAACACTCCTCCCCCTTTAATTACGTAGCAGCGCCAACGGCAGTATTATACAAAAGTTAGGAGCGAGCTTGGTATCTGTCAGGCGGACGCCGTTCTCTCGATGGGTAGCGTCCTTCAGAAGTAGATCGGCCTGTAGGAGGTACAGGATCCCGTTGCGGGATGGTGTGAGGCTGCTGTGGCCCATGCTCTTGTACCGTGGCCGGGACGCTTGGCTCGCCTGGTGAAAAGACCAGGAACCCCTCAGCGTCGTCGGTGTCCGAAGGTACCGGCGTTGCCGTTGGCCGTGTTTGGCTCAAAAGTTGATCGAGGTGCCGACGCCAGATGAACTTGCCTCGAGGCGTGGTAACCTGGACTTGGTAAGATACTGGACCAGTCTTCTTGAGGACGGTACCACGTAGCCACCTCGGCAAACTCCTGTAATTTCGCACTAGGACATTGTCACCAGGGCAGATTTCTTCTCTGCTTGTCCTCCGTTGCTTACTTTGTATAAATTGCTTGTGGATCACTTTCCCCTCTACCGTAGGCTTGATTACATCCAACCTGGAACGCAATCTTCTGCCCATCAACAAGTTTGCTGGCGTCTCTCCTGTTGTTGAATGTGGAGTATTCCGGTACGTCAGCAAAAAGTGTTGCAATGCTTCTTCCAGAGACTCACCAGCGGATGACTTGCGTAGTGCAGACTTCAGTGTCTGCACAAACCGTTCTGCCAGGCCGTTTGTGCTCGGGTGGTATGGGGCGCTCACGACGTGTCTGACCCCGTTGTTCCTCATGAACACCTTGAATTCCTCGGACACCAGCTGCGGCCCGTTGTCTGAAACGATTGTTTCCGGAATTCTGAACCTGCAGAAAAGTTCACGTAGGCACCTCACAGTGCGCTCGGTCGTAGTGCTCTGCATGGTGAACACCTCTGGCCACTTTGAGTGCGCGTCCACCACGACTAGGAACATGGTTCCGCGGAACGGGCCTGCAAAGTCTAGGTGTAGTCGTCTCCACGGTGCTGTCGGCCATGCCCAGGGGTGAAGAGGCGCTTTGCATGGATCATTACGCTGTTCCTGGCATGCTTGGCAGCTTCGTACCTTTCTTTCAAGGTCTGAGTCAATTGATGGCCACCAAACATAGCTGCGAGCCAGCTCCTTACTTCGCACGATGCCGGGATGGCCTTGATGCAGTTCGTCGAGCACGGGCTCCTGCAGCTGGGACGGAACAACAACCCTCATGCCGTACATTAGGCACCCTTGATGAACACTCATCTGCAAGCGTCTGTCAAAGAACGGTCTGAGTTGTTGTTCTTGCACGTGCGTCGGCCAACCCATGCTTGTGTATTCAAGTACTTGACAAAGTAACGGGTCGCGCGACGTAGCGCGTGCAATCTCCTGAGAGGACACCGGCATTGACTCTAGCCGCAGTGCATAGAAGGACTCTTCGCCCTCGCAACTATCGTCTTTCCCACTTTCGAGAGGGAACCTAGAGCAAAAATCGGCCTCTGCATTGTCACTGGATCTCTTGTACACCAACGAGTACTTGTACGCTGACAAGGTAACAGCCCAGCGCTGCAACCGTGCTGCCGCAATAGACGGAATGCCTGTCTTTGGGCCCAAAATAGTCTGTAGCGGTTTGTGATCCGTGACGAGAGTGAAAACTCGGCCATAGATGTATAAGTGGAACTTTTTGATCCCAAAAATAATGGCTAGTGCCTCCTTTTCAAGTTGGCTGTACTTCTTTTCAGCTTCGGTCAGTGTGCGTGATGCATACACCACAGGACGAGTGTTTCCATCTTCAGTCACATGAGACAGAACAGCGCCTATGCCATACTGGGATGCGTCGCACGCCACTTGCAATGGCTTACTTGGGTCGTAGTGTGCCAGAATCGATGGTGTTGCTAGCGCTGTCTTGATTTCCTCGAACGCTGCTTGACACGCTTTGTCCCAACACCAGCGCTAGTCTTGACGCAGCAGCCTGTAGAGCGGGCTCGCCAGGGTGGATAATCGTGGAACAAACTTCCCGTAGTAATTTACCATACCCAGGAATGACTGGAGCTGCTGCTTGCTTGAGGGTGCAGCAACCTTCAGCAGAGCCTCGATCTTCTCTGGCGTCGTGCTGACACCTGCAGCACTGATCACGTGGCCCAGATAACGCAGCTCCTTCTGGAAAAACGCGCATTTTTCCTTCTTCACACGAACTCCACGCTCTGACAACCGCTTTAGGACTGCTTCCAAATTGGCCAAATGCTCTTCCGGCGTCCTACCGGTGATGAGGACGTCATCCAAGTAGCAACTGACGCCTTTCAGATCTTTCAGCATTGTGTCCATGATTCTCTGAAAAATGGCTGGTGCCGAGGAGACTCCGAACGGTAACCTGTTTACGGCAAACAGTCCTTTGTGTGTATTTAAAGTTAGGTACTTGCTCGACGTTTCAGCCATCACCACCTGGTGATTAGCCCGGTTTAAATCAATCTTCGAAAATTCCTGGCATCCTGAAAGCGCTGCGAACAAGTCGTCGACTCTCGGGAGCGGATACTGGTCAGTGTCAAGGCAAGGATTCACGGTGGTCTTGTAGTCGCCGCACAACCTTATTCCACCGTCCTTCTTCACTACTGGCACAACCGGCGTCGCATAATCACTCGTTGTGACTGGTGTTATGACGCCCATGTCTTGCATCTTCTTTAGTTCAGCCTCGACAGCAGGCTGTAGGGCAAACGGCACGTTTCTTGCCTTGAGGAATTTCGGTACGTGACCTTCTTTTAGCGTCAGCTCTGCCCTTTCTTCAGCAATAGTTCCCAGGTCTTTATTGAACAGATTTTGGTACTTGTCCAGAAGCACACCAAGCTTTGTGCGTTGTTCGGAAAGCGCCAAAACATCTGACCTGGCAATGCTGTTGATCCCGAAAATCCGGTTCCAATCCAATCGGATCGCTTGCAGCCACTGTCGGCCGAGCAGAGGTGGTCCCTTTTCTCTTGTGATGTAGAGGGGAAGCTCGGTCCTCTGCTGTCCGTACTGCACGTCGACGTGAGCAACCCCGACGGGCTGAACGATGTCTCCCTTGAACGTGCGCAGCTTGAGCGTCGTCGGCATGATCTTTGTTGACGGAGATATCTGACGAAACTGTTGCAGTGACATGACAGAAACAGTTGCTCCTGTGTCCAGTTCCATTTCCAAGGCAACTTCCTGCACGTTTATTGTGAGTTTTATTGGTTCCATACCAGACGTGGTCATTTCCTTCATGCCAACTGGGTCTTGAACAGGAACCAGTTTCTTCATCGCCTTACGTGGCGTCCACTTCGATTTCTTTTCTTTGTCAGCATGACACACTCTTTGGACATGCCCCTTCTTGTTACACTTGAAACAGATATCCGCAATGTGCGGGCATACCCGGCTTCCATGTTTCGCTGAGCCGCAGCGATAGCATTCTCGCTGTGTCACGTTCGCCTCCGCGACGGCCTTCACCTTGTGTACGTCTGAAACTCTAGGTTCTGACGCATGTGTTTCAGCGACGTTCTTTTTTGCTGCTTCCATGGCTAGCGCTTTTTCGACGGCTCTCTGGAAAGTTAGCTTGTTGTCCTCTGTGAACAACACACGTTGAATGTCCTCTCTGCGTAAACCGCAGACGAAACGGTCCCTCAAGGACTGGTCAAGTGCGGCTTCGAAGTCGCAGGTTTGCGCCAATTTGCGTAATTCTGCAACAAAGGCTGCTACAGATTCGTTCTCGAGCTGCGTTCTTCTGTGAAACTTTGCGCGCTCGCTGATTACCGATGGCTTCGGTGCCAGGTGATCCCCCAAAAGCTTCTTTAGCTCATCAAACGTTTTTCTTGCTGGCAACTCCGGTGCGGTCAATGACTTCAGAAGACTGTACGTTTTCGGGCCTATCAGACTCAAAAATGCGTGTACCTTGTCGTCCTCGGCGATTCGGTTGACCAGAAGAAACGACGTGAGTCGTTCCTCATACGACGGCCAGTCGCTCGTCGATTCGTCAAAGGGCTCGATGTGTCCCAGTCGGCCGAAGACTTGCGGCACTTGACCCGTCGCTGCCGGATCCCCCGTTGCCATGTCGGCTTCCGCGTAGCAGTTCAGCGAAGCCTCCTCGTCGCCAAGTTGTCGTGTCTTGACGGGGCAACAGACACAGTAGACCGGAGGACCATGGCCCGAGGTTTATTCCATGGAGCGTGGAACTAGAACGAACCTCTCGTGCTATCAAACTGACACGACGATAAAGAAGAAGAGCGAAGGAACTAAAGCGCCGCCACTATAGTCCCAGTAGCGCGCGCTTGGCGGTAACTACACAACATCGGTGAAGTATTGTTGTGAATTTGCGAGGATGTCTGCCAAGCTGACGAAGCTTCGAACGACGATGACATGTCCAGAAGTTCTGACGGTAATAAAGTTTTTGGCATCGCCCCGTGCTTTAGCTGAGAGTGATGTAAATAAAGGTTTGTTTCTTTTGCCCAAAATTTCAACTGTTCGTAATAATAAAAAAAAAACAAATCGACCTATATTTGAATTTTTTTGTTTTTATTCTCGGTGGGTCCAACAAATAGGGTTCGACCTATTTTCGAGTAAATACGGTAACTTTAATTTTTATTTTGGGTTACGTCGGACGTAACTCGAATGCTTAACAGTTACGTTGGGCGTAACTTTAATTTTTATTTCGGGTTCCGTCGGACGTAACGTTAGACACTGCGTTACACTTAAGCAAAATAGGGGCTGCTGGTTCATCATATAAACCAACCATTTGTGTTTAATTAAAGCGCATCACTGGCCTAAAAAAAATACTGCCATCCTATAGGAATGTAGCGCTTCAGATAAATTTGTTAATTTTTACTTTTAGTCCCTGCCCCACCAGATACAACATCTGGCCTAAAGCAGTGTTCCGGATCTCCTTCCAAGACCTCAGGCGGGTCGTCATTCAATCCAGGAGTCGGCGGCGTCTCATGGGCGTGTTGCTGGTGCTTCTTACTGGATGGTGCTACCGAGGGAAAAGTGGTCGTGCTTGGGAAAGGCAAGTATGGCCGCCGTAAGTATAGATATTGTTTTTACCTTTGCTCAAAGCCACCTTTAAGAAATGCACAGTTTGCATGTGTGCATCTCTCAATGCTTCTACAGTCGGCTGTTAATATTTGGAGTGCTCCAACTCTGTCAGCGCTAGTTTCTCTAGATCATGCAAATGGGATGCAACACTAAACCACATATGCTCTCGCAACAAACAGTGCTGTGCTGAAGCACTGTGGAATCTACTCTGGCTTTATAATGCAGCACAAATTAGTTGACGCCAAGTATAGCTACTTTTGTGACTCCGTTTTACCAAAAGCTCTGCCGAAATAAACTTTCCACCTTATAGGTAGTGCAAAAGAACCTCGCGTGCTGGAGAAGGGCATTTTTTTCATAGGTCAATTTTTTCTTAAACCAATACCTTCAGCCTCCTTGAAATGTTAACATCATGTGACACTCAGAAGAACAGTGAACCCCTTAATGTTGGCGAACCTTTAATTTTCGCGGCCTTTAATTTTGCGGAATTCAGTGGCTGCGATTATGTCCTCTGTGACCGATTCGAGAAGAAATAGGGGCCACCAAGCTAAGGGGGTTTTACTGTACATCGGAGGAAAGAGGAAGTAACTTTTGTTTGTATGCAAGAGTAAAACCAACAACAACAATCATGATGTCGACTCTTTGTGAGCCTATCTGTGTCTATTGAATGATATCAATTTTGTTTTAGTTCGTTAAACATTGTTGCCTGTACATTGTGGGACGTCGCCTTCAACACGAGCAGTGGTTTTCCTCTGAAGCAGGCAGCATGGACGCGTGCCGCAGCACAACATAGTTCATTTGCAGGTGGTACCGCAGGTTGAAGGATGGTTCGCACAATATGGGAGAATCGCAATTCAATGTTCTACCTCGGGCGTAGACAAGATTCGCTCATTCTAAATCATTTTGTCTACAAATAAGGAACTTGCGACGAATGTACCCGCATGGTTGGAAGGGTCAGACAAGCCTTGTGAGCGCTTCGTTTTCTAGCCTCTCAGTCCTGAACCCACTCACTCACCACATGTGTAGATGTTCCGATAGGTGGGAGCACTTATTTGGAAAATGGTGAATGGCAACTGTTGTTATCTTTAAAGTGGACTGCATATTTGCAATACTTTTCTTCACTTAAAAATATGTTTTACTAAAAATATGTAGTATAGCCGATGACAAAAAGAGAATGGCTGGGCGTCCTCCAGCACGTGCTTGTGCTTTTCACCCCGCTTTGGACAGATGTGCTCGCTCCAGGCTCATGAGGCGCTGAAACGTCATCGAAGGTAGCAGACGGGCTGGAGGTGGAACAACGGAGACTTCTCCCTGCCTTTCTGATGGTGTCAGTGAGCGTGTACTTCTATACTCTAACTTAGCTTAACCTGCACAGAGCTGAGTAGAATAGGCTTGGCAAGTGCCCTTATTGCATATGCATTTGTACAGCTGAGGTACTTTCTAAGTCAAGAACATTGTGTACCTTACCTTCAAAAACACATCATTTTGGGGGTGCAAAAGGAATTCTAAGGCATATTTTTGTTTGTATTGTCCTATTACGCATCGACTCCTTCAACTTAATGCGGAGTCGACCCATCCTCTTGAAAAATGTTATGCTTGCCAGGTAATTGTTTTGCATTTAGTTGATATATCAGTATTCAGTTAGCTATCCCAAGTCATTAGTCGTTGAGGTGGAGTCTCTCTGTAAGTCAGTCATGTTTAACATTCATA